TGCGCTTGGGCTCGTGTAGAGGAGGCGTTGCAGGCAGCAGGAAAGAACCGATCGGAGTTCGTTGGGCTGACGCCAACAAAGGGGGCCATAATGACCCCAACTACAGGAGCCGCCTCTGCGCTAAAGAATTCAAGGTGAAGGAGAAGGGGCATTCGCAGCCACGCCGCCTCTAAAGGCGCTGCGTATCCTGTGTTCTTTGATGGCGACCGCGCCCGGACACGACGCGGAGGCGCAGGCGCGCGGAGACACGGTGTAGTTGTTCACGGATGCTACGCGCGCCCATTATCACAGTCCGACAGATGAGTTCATCTATGTTGACGCGCCGCCAGAGCGGCGCCGACAAGGGTGGTGCTGGCGCATGTTGAAGAGCATGTATGGGGCCCGTCGAGCAGGACGCAACTGGGGGCGTTTCTACAGCAGCGCGTTGGTCGAGCGTCTTGGTTTTACCCACGGCTTGAGTCGCCCATGCTTGTTTCTTCGCGGTAAGTGCCGTGTGAGGGCTCGGGTGCACGGAGATGGTTTCGTTCATCTAAGTTCGCGCGCAGATGTTTGATGGGTGGAGGAACAGATGCGGCTGCACATCAAGATGAAGAAGATTGGCCTGCTGGGTCCAGGAGTCCACGACGACAAGGAAGTCCGATGCTTGAATCGCATCATTCGGCTCGATGCGTCGAGGGGCTGTCCTGAGTGGGAGTGCGACCCAAGGCGCGCGCAGATCACGATCCGGCAGGTGGATCTCCGGAGGGATTCAAAAGGGGCGGTGTCTCCAGGCGCGGCTATTGCCATATGCCATACCGGACCCAAAGGACGATCCAGTTCTCGACAGAGTTGCAGCGACCTTGTTCCGTTCAGTCACCACGAGGACAGCGCACCAAGCAATTGATCGACCAGAGTTGCTGTACCCTGCCAAGGAGGCAGCAAGGGCAACGCAGAATCCAACGAGAAGCCCGATGGAGGAGATCAAAAGGATCGCTCGGCGTCTCGCGTCGGCGCCGCGGGTCGCGCAGGCGTTCCGACGGCGGCCAGAGCAGAGCAAGTTGGTATAGCATACCGACACGGGCCACGCTGGGTGTAAAGTCTTTCGGAGGTCAACATCCGCTGGTGTGACTATGCACGGCAGCCACATGTTGGCAGCGTATTCTACGACGCAGAAGACCATTGCCACCTCCAGCGGGGAGTCGGAGAACTACGGCATGGTCAGAGCAGATTCACGTCTTGTGGGCATGACCTTCATGGCCAAGGACTACGGCATGGCTTACAGTGGAAGGCTCCGAGCAGACGCGTCCGCATGTATCGGTATCGCCTCCAGGCGTGGCATTGGCAAGATTCGCCATCTGCATGCGCAGGCACTGCGGCTACAGCGAGCAGTGGCCGAGAAACGACTTAGCGTCGCGAAGACGAAGGGCGAGAGCAATCCAGCCAACCTTCCCGCGAAGCACGTCGACGGGAAGATGATGCGGCGATGTCTGGCCGGCCTCGGCTCCGAGTCCCAGAGCGGCCAGAGTGAGCTCGCCATAGGCGCGGCGAGGGGCGCGCGAGGTCCACGGCACGGTAGCCGGATGGTTTGGGTCAGCGGTTTCGGGGGGCGCCGCGCCGGAAAGGTAAAGCGGGGAGTTTCGCTGTGCTACGCGTAGTGCGGGTATTTTCGCCTACCCCCTACGAGGGTGCGAAAGCACGCCCGTGGGGCACCGCCGCGCGGGTAGTCCCGCCGTGGATCCCGCGCTTCACTATCTAAGAAAGCACGGCCGCACCAAGCGAGGTTTTGGTGGCGACCGTGAGAAGCTGTGTCGGGATTCATAACGCACTTGATGTATCTTCTTAGTGCCCTGAGGTAGAGCAGAGTAGAGCAGAGTAGGGCAGAGCAGGGTAGGATACGAGTAGCACAGCATGTTGCATTCCATAGCCATCTGGTCCAACCAGGGAAAAACAACATTCGCCACCTAACGACAGGCCCATTTTGATGAGCCCCTGCGCTGCATCCGTGCCAAATCTGGAAAGTTATTATTCAGCGTATCTGGGTGGCGACACCCCCGGGCCCCCCCCTCGGGGCCCCCTCGGGAGAAGAGGGTTCCCTTTGACGTGATTACGACATGGGTCGATTTCCTTCAAGCCCGCTAGAGCACTGCAGCGACGACGACGACGACAACGACGAACGGCACAGCCCCTCACACACGCCGACAGGGTCGGCGGATTTCTGCGCGGCACCGCCCCCCCCATCCCGAGCGCCCCCTCTGCATCACCCCACCCGCCAGCCAACGCGCCCCCTCCGCCCCTACCCCTTATTTCTGCGCGGCACCGCCCCCCCATCGCGAATACCCACCCCATCGCCCCATCCACCACTAGCCAGCGTGCCCCCGCCGCCTCCTCCCCCTTCCTTTCTGTGCAAGAGCCATGCCACGCGTGCCAGTTGTTCTTCTTCCAGAATCCGCCTGTAGGAGGTCACGCCCGACCTAACACCAGAACGGCGGGGCATCGTGCGGGGAATCGGGACGCGGGCTCCCCGCAGGTCGTCGTGGGCCAGGAGCGGGCGACGCCGAGCACGCACCGCTGGAGGGGAGGGAACGGGGGCAGGCACCGGCGGTGGCGGTGAAGGCCCCCCCCCCCCTCGCATCGCTCCGCGTCCCTACATTTCTCTCCATCCGTCTCTCCTCTCGCCTCCCGCCTGCTCCTGCCTGCTGCCTCCTTTTCTTCCCTTCTATATATATATATATATATATATATATATCCTCCCTCCTGTTTCCCCGTGCTCCTCCTCGCTTGTGCTCCTGCTTCCTCCTCGCTCGCCCCTCTTATCTCATCCCTTCTCTCCCCCACTATCCCTCCTACTCCTTGACGGCATTCATGCTTGTTTTCGCTCCAGGCAGGAGGAGGAGGAGGAGGAGGAGGAGGAGGAGGAGGAAGAGGAGGAGGGGGAGGAGGAGGAGGAGGAGTGTCGCTGGGGATTCGGCTGTGCTGCCCTTCTCTCCCTGGGTTTTTCGGCCCGCGTTCCGCAAAAACTGGCTTTGGGGGAAGACAGCGAGTGGCCTGCGCTGGCCGTGCCTCCGGGCGCCGCGGTCGGGGGAGGCCGAGCCAGTCCGAAGTCGCGCCCGTCCCTCTGCAGGAGGCATATCTCGGAGGTGGATCGACCTCCTGCCCTGCCGATTAGCGAATTGGCCGTCTTCTGTTCGCGAGAGGGCGTCGCGGCCGTCATTTTTGCGGGTCCAGGTCCGTTGGTTTCGGTCCTGGGCCGTTTTCACTACAGGGTGGTTTGCTAAAGAGAGGTTTGTCCACCGCCGAATACCCGAAAATAGTTAAAACATCGTCTGGGGACGATGTTTGAAAAAATAGGCCTTTACCATTTTTGGTTTTTTAACTATTTTTAATCGGTCACCCAAAATCAGCCTGTAGGAGGACACGCCCGACCTAAAGCCAGTCCCACCTCGGACCTGGGCCCGCCACGGGGAGGCAAGTGTGCCGAGGGCGGAGCTACGTGGGGGTCAGGGTCAACGATCGGGGGGATAAGCACAGGGGGGGGATGCATCGACCCCCAATCGCCCGTGGATCGCCGACAGGAGCCCGATAGCCTCAACCCGCCCAGGAAGGTGCGGCCTCACTATCGGGGCCCTATCGCTGATCTGTCGGCGATGTATCGCCGATTCCAGGTCGATGCATCCCCTCCTATGCCAGTCCCCCCCCTATCGTCGCTTCTCAGGGGGGAGGTGGCCGGCATTCCCGAGACGTGGGCCCTATGGCCGGACAAGATTCGAAGAACAGCACAATGCATAAACAGAACCGTTTGGCGGTCCGCACGGATTTCTTGGATCTGCGTTGGGACTCTGGCGGCGCCGCCCCTGGCGCGCTCTTCGCGCCAGGGAGGGGGGCTCGAGCTCAGATCCAAGAAATCCGCGTGGACCGTCAAACGTTTATGTTTATGCCGTGTTTGCCTGTTCCTCTAAGAAAAGCGTCGGTCCCTGCTCAAATACAGAGGAGGCCCATGCTAAGAAACACCTTGCTTGCCTCCAGGGTGCCCTGGGTTTCCTGGGTCTCGATGGTTTTGCTGTGGAAAGCGCGACGTCCCCACACCAAAAATACAGGGACGTCCTGGGTTTCAAGTGGAGGGTTTCTTGTGGACTGGCCGCCACTGTAAGGGCGGCGGAAGCCGGCGGAAGTAACACCGGCGGAAGCTGGCGGACGGCTGGCGGAACCCGGCGGGAGTACGAGGTGCATCCCTTACGGGATGGCAGGGTTTCTGGGTTCTATGTTTGAGTCCTATACAGGGGGAGTATTCAAAAATAGTCCACAAATAATATGGGGACGATTTTTGTCATCACTATTTTGAGTATGTTTGGGTATTTTTTGACTATTTTGGGAAGGCGGCGTAAAGGCGGCGGAAGCCGGCGAAAGTAAAACTGGGGGCGGCTCCACTGGCGGAAGCCGGCGGACGGCCGGCAGAACCAGGCAGGAGTAACCGGCGGCGAGCGAGGGGGGAAGTTCGGGAGTTTTGAGACGGGGGTCGATGCAGGCGGGGGTCAGCCACAGCGCCCGATCTTGCAGGATCCTGCAGAGCCAGGGTCGCATTGGCCCGGGTCTGGGTGCAGCAGGATCCTGCAGGATCCTGCAGGATCCTTCGCATTGACCCGGGTTTGGGTGCAGGATCTTGCAGGATCTTGCAGGATTCTACAAGGCCTGACTGACCCGGGTCATGACTGACCCGGGTCTGGATTGACCCGGGGCAGACTATCCCCGAGAAGTGACAAGGAGAAGGCCTTCTCAGAAGGCGGCGGGACTTCTCAGAAGCCCTCGCGCCTTCTGAGAAATGTTCCCTGTCTTCGGGGAAGGCTTAGAAACTTCTCGGAAGGCCGGGGGACGTCCGAGCCTTCTGAGAGGGCCTTCGCCTTCTCATTTCCCCCCCCTCGCTCGCCGTCGAAGCAAGAGATGCATCATTCCCCACGGGACGGCAAGTCTCCTGGATTCTACACGTGGCAACGACGCGGTCTGCGAGCGCCCAGACTTGGTTGGCGATGGTGCTGAACTTGAGGCTACGGCTCGCCGCTCTCGGGATCGCAGCGCGTCCGTCATCCTGGAGCGCGCCGGTGGGCCCAGGAACCCAGGCCGTGCTGCGCATCTCATCTGGCCCTCGCGTGTGGTGCGCAGGCGCAGGGTGGTGATCGCACTCCCCGATACCAGCAGCTTCGTGCCTGTTGCCAGGGTTGGGTCGGGCGTGTCCCCCCACATGCGGATTTTGGAGGAAAAGATGCTCCCAACTGGGTAGAGTAGTAGAAAAGTCGTCCCCAGACTATTGTTTGACTATTTTTGAGTATTCCTCCTGGAGAGGGACATGCCCGACTTAAGCGTAGGCGCAGGGTTGTGATCGCATTCCCCGATGCCTCCAGCAACAGTTTCGTGCCTGTGGCCAGGGACACCTGGAGGCGCACTGCCTGCAGCAAGCCGGTGCGATCTGCCGCCCGCCTCGTTTTTGCGCACGGTTCGTCCGCAGTATGGGGCCCTCGCTGCAGCCACACCTTCCACACGGGAGAGTCAGAAGCCGGCTAGAGGACGACGAGTGGTTGTCGCGCAGGTCGGCAAGCATCAATCGACGAGGACCTTGAGTAGATTTGAATTGGCCGACCCCCTCGCCGCCTGCGTCTCCGAGTCTCCGTTCACGGGCACATGGTGCACGAAGGCCACATCTTACTGTGCAAAGGCCGCGTTACCTTCTGTGGGTTTGCGGATGTTGGGCCGAACTTCAACACCGCGAGTTGCAGATAGAGTGTCAAGTCGCCCTGCGCAGCCCTGCTGCCCTGACCGCTGGGGAGGCTCCGCCAAGAGAACCCCCCAGAAGAGACATGCTTCGACTGGGAACTGCTTCGGCTGGGGGAGCGCTGGTGCTCTGCCTTAGTTTATGTGAGCGATGCAAAGAACCGGGATCGTCTGCGCCGACATTGGCGCGTAAGTTGCTCGCGTATGGTCGCGGGTGAGCGCCCTCGTCTCCAATGTGGCGTGCGGCGTGCCGCACCGGCGGCCCGCGTAAGCCACCGCGTAAGGTCGCTACGTCATCTCTCGTAAGACCCGTGTGAAATCGTCGTTCATATGTGATGCAGTCGATTTCTCCCCTGCTCGGCAACCTCATCTGAAGTTGGCGGACTGGCGCCTCTCGCATGCGCGTGGACCAGCGTTTGCGCCTGCCCTCGTCTCGATCCCCTCATGGGCGGGGAACACAGTCCACGCGCCTAGTATGAAGTCGGGCGTGTTCCTCTACAGGGGGCATATTCAACAGTATGTGAAAAATAATTTTGAAACGATTTTTGATTATTTTTGACTGTTTTAGAATATTCTCGACCTACGCCTAGTAAGGACACGCGCCTTCATCTAAGTTTACCCTTGTGTCCTTGCTTCTGCGGCCCGTCCTGTGCCGTTTTCAGTGGTCGCCCGACGCCCAAGACGTCTCAATTTTGGCCTCCAAGTGTCCTGCGTCCTTACCACCCGTCCTTCATACACGTTTTAACTGGAGGCTCAGTGGGGGATGCATGGATCCCCCATCGCCCATTCGTCGCCTATAGGGTCCTGACTGAAAGTCCACCCCGCCCAGGAGCGTACGGATTCACTATCGAGGGGGAAGGGCCTATCGTCCATCTATGGCGAGGTATCGCCGATGCCAGCTCGATGTTTCCCCTATCTGAGCGGAGCCCTTCCCGACGCTCGCCCCTCACCCCCTGGCCTAGGGGAACAAGAAATGGCATAACCATACACTTTGGTAGGGCCGAGCGGATTTCTCGGATCTGCGCTGGATCCCCCTCCCTGCGTGCGGAGGCGGCGCCGGAGGCGCCGCCAGGTCACTCTGGCGCCGATCCGAGGCATCCGCGCTGATAGGCCGGTGCAATTTGCTGCTCCCCGATGGCGGGCACACTGGCCTCCAAGTAGTCGCCGTCAGGGACCAACGCCGCCCCTCAGGCCAGGGGTAAGAGCTCCAGGGGTAGACCTCAACGGTGTTTGGCAATTTCGTGGGCCGTTTTCGTTTCGATTTCGGTTTGCGTTAAAGGCGGATTGAGGACAAAACGAGGGAAACGAAAACAAACCGAAAACGAAAAACACCGTTTAGGTTCAGCCCTGAAGAGCTCAGACGAATCCGCTTCGGGCTCGGCTCCGCCCTCGTGGCTCCCTGCGCTCCACCGCACGGGCACCGAGGGCTCCTGCGTTTCCCCAGGGGCGCGAGCGGAGGCAGCGCGGGCCTGGCCCAGACATCCTCGGACGTGAATTCTTCAATCCGCGGCCCAAAAAATCTCGACCCTTGCCCCAGGGTTATGTTGCTCCCATCGTTCGGGGGCCCCCAAACGGGGCTGTGACCACACCGTGCGGTGAGTCGTGAGTCGGTGGGGATTCGGGGTCACCGCACGATTTTGGGACTCGAGTCCCTCTCCGTGGACGTCTCGGGCGACAGGGGCCTCCAGGGTCCCAAAACCGTGCGGTGACGGACCGTGCGGTGAGGTCTGGGGGGATTTCGAGGTCACCGCACGGTCCGTCACCGCACCGTTTCGGGACTCCAAAATCGTACTTCAGGACCACATCTTCCGAGAAGTAATTCGGAGCACCCGGGAAAGCATCGAGACAGTGCCGACCGAGTATCGCACCCTAGGGCCCGACGAACGAAAGCCCTCCAGCTTCGGTACTTCCTTGGTGTTCGATTTTTTGTCTTGGCTATCAAGGTCAAAGTATGTTGGAACATCATCGTCCCAAGGAAATCCCAGCATTGATCGTTGGGGCCGCCCCGACCTGCTCCTCTGCCACAGCCCTTCCCCCACCCGGCCCAGCCATGCGCGCGGCACGCGGACGGAGGAGCTGCGCCGTCTCCCCCGCCCCCCCCCCCCGGCCCACATCCGGATTCCATCCCTCCCCTCCCCTCCCCTCCCCTCCCCTCCTCCCCCCTCCCTTCCCACTCGCCTCCTCCCCCCTTTTCCCATCCTGACTACCTACCAGACCACCCCAACCCAACCCGACGACCCAATTCTTTCTGGTGATCAAGTCCAAAGTTGGTTGGAACATCAGAACCCTGGGGGTAGTTTTTCGCTCTGGATCCGTCTTTGACGGCCCCAGGGGCCAAGCGGCGGGCCCCAGAGGCCGACGTCGAGGAGAACCGCCCAGATGGAGAAGATCAGCTCTCCTTTGGGATCTGGGCTGAGGGCGGGCATCGAGATTCGAGGTTCGAGCATCGAGGATCGAGGATCGAGGTTCGAGGTTCGAGGATCGAGGATCGTGGATCAAGGATCGAGGATCAAGGATCGAGGCTCGAGGATATCGAGGATCGAGGATGTCGAGGATCGAGGATCGAGCGTCGAGGATCTTGCGGCGGAAGCAGTGCGGGCCGGGGGGGCGCCGCGGGCCCTCCGCCCCGCCGCCGGCGGGCGAGAGGCAGCCGCCCCCGGCGACGGCCCTGGCTGGGCAGGCCCCCGCGGCGCCGCTCGCAGGCCGGGCGGCGCCGCCGCCAGCTGGCCCAGGCCAGATGAGGGCTCCTCAACCTCATCCTCATCCCATTTCTCATTTGTCTCCTCCTCCTCCTCCTCCTCCTGGAGACGGCGACCGACAGCCATATCAACTCGGCGCCGAGGAAGCCCTACAACATCACGGACGAGATCTGGGAGCAGGTCAGCTTCATGGATCACAAGAAGGAGCTGGCGGAGGAGATGCGCAACATAGGTGACAAGATGATCATCAGGAGCGCGAGGCACCAGGATGACGAGTACCAGCTGACGGAGCAGTACGGAGAGTGGGTCGCGAAGGTAGAGGAGGCCCACATCATTAATGAGCAGGTGGAGGATCAGGATGCGCAGCGGTGCAGGGGTCGAGCGTCGGGCTTTGGCATACGATGGATACGTGCGAAACCCACACCAGGAAGGACACACATGAGATATGGACCAGCTGAGGAATGGAGCATCTTGACTACTGATTTGGTGCGATATCAGTCACTGGTGGTGAATTGTACGGACGTCAAGCAGCAGAGCATGTGTGTCAAGCGAATCCTTAAGCAGATCGGAGTCCTGATAGGCATCCCGCACAAGGACGCTTTTAGCAAGCACGTCACCGAGACCAGCAGCAACATGTACTTCCACATGGCAGAGGACATTCTAGACTTAGACGTGGGGCAGCTGGCAAATCTGGTTGCCCAAACGGAGGAACACCTGGCCAAGGCATCGTCCAGATCGATGACGTCGGCGAGGAAAAGCTTTGCTACCTGGGCGAAGAAGGCCTGGCAAACTAAGGCGGGGATTTTACACAGACACGTCAAACCGAAGGAGGCACCTAGATACGAGATGGCGATACGACCACATTTTGTGACGGCTGACCCCACCATCATCATGAACGCGAAGGCCAGCAAATGGGAGTCTATTTGGACGGACCCAGTCGACACTCGGGAGGACATTATTGAACAGCTGGAGTGCACGCGGCGCAGAGCTATACAGGAGGACCTGGGCCCTATCGACATGGACATGCTGAATGACGCTCTGCGTGTGACGGCGGCATCGAAGGCAAAAGGCTTGGACCAACCGGGTCCCTCGGACATTGACGGACTCCCCACGACGGCAAAGGGAGAGCTGTTAGGTATACAGCAACGGAGTGAAAGCACATTGGCTTGGCCACGGCAGTTATCGGCGACAAAGTGTGCGATGGTGGCTAAACCAGGTCCTGCAGCGGGAGATAGGGTGCTGGGCATGCTACCACTTCCAGTCAAGTTGTGGTCGAGAGCGCGTGGCGGCGTGTGCTCTATATGGTGTGCTGGTTTATCTGATCATTGGGACACGGCGATCAAGGGCAGTTCGGCCTTCAGAGCAGGACTGCTGCGCGCCATATTGGACGAGACGGGAATTGAGATTGGGGCATCGGCCATGACTTTATTGTTAGACATCGAGAAATTCTATGACACGGTATCCCTGGTGATTCTGATGCAGATAGCTTGCAAGGCAGGTTTTCAAGCAGTTGCTGTGGGATTGGAAGTGGTCATGTTCTCTGGGCCGCGGCATCTGCAGGAGCGATCCATCACCAGCGAGGCCATCTGGCCGACCAGACCGCTGGTGGCAGGATCAGCCCGAGGCGTATTTCTGCACCCAGTGCTAGAATTGGCCCATCGGAGGACTCCATCAGCGGGATTACGGACATTCGTTGATGATACGGTGGCCAGATGCGAGGGCAGCGCCAACACTGTTGGTGAGCAGCTGGTGGAGGTCTCGACGGATATTTGCACGGGACTGACGCGACAGAGAATGACCATATCGGATAAGACCACAGTGATCGGCTCGGACCTGGGACAAGTGAAGAAGGCAGCGCAGCGAATACGACGCCGAGGGGTACCAGCTAAAGCTACGGGGGCGGCGACGGACCTGGGGCTTGACACAGCTGGCGGACGGAAAAGGGTTACGACGAAGAGTAAGCAGAGGCAAGTCAAGGCGAACAAGAGGTTCGCCGAGCTTGTCAAGCTCAGGAGGGTCGCGGCGCTGAAAAAGGAGTCCAAGGGACTATACAACGTGGGGGTGCTGCCGCAGGCGGTTTACGGGTAGCAGAACTTTGGCATGTCCAAGCAGGAGATCACACAGCTTCGTCGCCAGGCTGGCAGAGTGGCTGGAGGCGGTGCTGGAGGACGTTGTCTCACCACTACGCTGGGCATGGAACTGGGACTTCATTACCCCGCGGTGGATCTTCGCTTGGGAGTGGTGCGTGACTGGATCGGTACGCGGCAGAAATTCCCACGCATCCATCGTCGAGTTGCGAAGGCGTGGTCGGGCATTAAATCAAGGTTGCACCGTTTGGGGGCGAAGCGGTGGCGCGCGGTTCGTGGACCTTCTGGCGCTCTTATGGCCACGCTGATGGATGCAGGATGGACACCTACGACAGCGACACGATGGCATAGGCCTGGACCAGAAGATATGGAGATGTGGGAGCTGCCGGCCTCTGAGGACGACAGCTTTGTCGCCGCGGGCTGCTTCCAGGAGCTGCTGGGCGACTTAGAGGGCGATCTGAGGAGAGACTTGTGGACGGAGGCCGCAAAGCACGAGAGCGGCGACAACCTTCAGGAGGGTGGCGACCTGTGGCCCATTGTCATGGAGCAGCGAAGGTTCGAGCGCAAAGGGATGCTCGACCAGCTGGCGCTCAACGCGACGGTGGTCGCGGGCGGCCAGTGGCCGCGAGCCCGATGCAGGGAAGAAGGATTTCAGGTCACGTTAGATTGCCCGAGATGTAAAGCTGCCCCCAGAAACATTGAAGCACAGAGATTGGGAATGTTCCAGGAACACTGAGCATGAAGATTATAGCAAAAGCCAGCCCCTTGTAGCGGCAGCGCTAGCACAAGCAGAAGCTGAGCCAGCCTTATGGCAGCGCGGCTCCCCCCCTACTCGCCTCACTCACCCCCTATTCGATGATGGGCGGCTGGAGGGTCGGGAGCTCAGGCTGGGCGGGGGGGGGCGACTTCGAGGCCTCTCGAGGAAGCGACGGGGTTTAAAAGGTTTACGGCGACGGCTCGGGGGGGCTGTTTTCTGACGATCCCAGACGACGGCGCTGCGGATCGGCCATTTGCACCCTGAAACGGTCCCAGGGAGAGTTCGTCCTGCAAGCTGCGTTGGCTCGTCCCCTGCTCGGAGGCCGTCAGACTGTCCCGCGCTCCGAGATCCAGGCCTTTTGCATGGCTTTAGAGGAGATGTCTGGTGCTTTTCTGTTTCTAACTGACCATGTGTCGGTTGCTCGGAAGTGGCGCCGAAAGATGGAGCACCCCGGCCCCGCAGGGGCCGATGGGGACCTCTGGGCCAGGGCCCGTGAGGCCTGGCGTGCCGTGCCAGACACCGCCGCTGTCGAAGTGCAGTGGACTCCCTCTCATACAGATGAATCCCCTGAGCTGCTGGCGTCAGACCAACAGCTTGAGACTGCGGCAGGCAACGCAGTGGCGGATATTTGGGCGAGGGAGGGGGCGGAGCTGGCTTGGGAGTTTGGGCTGGTGGGGGGAAAGCCGCAGACGGACCGAACAGATGCCATCGCCAGCCTTGTGCGACGCCGCGCGAGGAGCGCGTTGGCCGATTCAGCGAACGCCGAAGTGCAGGCGAATGGCGAACGCAAGGCAGCTGCTAAGCGATTGCCCGCCAACCAGTGTGCTCGAGCAGTCCGAGAGTCGGCCCACTGCATTGCTAGGGCTGGCACAGGCTGGAGGTGCACTGTGTGCGATCAGGTGGCGCCGGGCGCCAGGCTGCTCAAGCTCGCGGCCACTCCTTGTGCGGGCAGGGCCCTCCCTGGGGGAAGTCGGCCCCCTGAGGTTCAGCAGGCGCCCCGTAGATTCGCGGCGGGGGCCCTGGAGCTGCGCGAGTCTCACGCGTTGTTTTATGTGGACAAGTGGTTTATGCACGCCTGCAGCAAGCGCGGTCGCTTCGCGACAGTTGATGATAGACACATCAAGAAGCGCTGCGAGGGTATGACCCCCAAGGGGTCAGAGAATTTGGCGCGAATTCGGAAGGGTACATGCCCTAGGA